TCTATCATGAAGCTTAATTTTATGATGTAAACTTTAGGTCATATATCTTAATTTGCCCACAGGGATTAAGATAAGGAACATGATCTCTTAACTGTTTTTTTGGTCATAATGGTTGTAATGAATCTAATTGAATTAAAACTTTAGCCCACAGACAAGTTTTATGTCACTTGATTCTTCAACCCATTTGATAATTGTATAGTTGTAATGAATCTAATTGAATTAAAACTTCAGCCCACAGGCAAGTTTTATGTCACTTGATTCTTCAACTCATTTGCTAATTGTTTCATCATAAAATTTCAGTTGGATCTTATTGAGTAAAACTTTAGCCCACAGGCAAGTTTTATGTCACTAGATTCTTCTGGCCATTTAGTAATTGAGATAAAATACTATCATAAGTGTTTAATTGAATTTAATAGAATTAAAACTTTAGCCCACAGGCAAGTTTTATGTCAATAAATTCATCAACCCATTCGATAATAACTTTATCTCAATTTCTTAGAATTTATAAATTTAGTTCAATTATAAGTTTCGTGGTTTGCATTGGCAAAACATGTATTTAGTCACTTCCCAAAATTTAGATACACCTTTTATTAATTATTTTTCACGAAGCTTACTTGGTTATTTGGATTAACTATAGTAAGTTGCGTGGTATGATATACTTCTTTTGGATTCCAATAATAAAATATATCTTCTGAGCCGAATTCCAACTTGGTTTTGGAATGCGTAGTTTATTATTTTAGTATGTCCAACTATGGTGGAGAATCATGTCCTCATTAATCATTCATTTAGTTGGACTATAATTGGAACCAAATATTGATTATTTAGTGTGCCCAACTAATGGTGGAGAATTATATCTTCATTATTTAGCTGGTCAAATCAATTATGAGTGTTATATCATTAATTTGGCTAAAGAATATCTTAATCGGTGGGAGTGATCATTTAGGAAAGATCATTAAAATACTCCATTAAAGTTGATGGATTTAATTGTTTTCATACATTCCAAATTGGATTGTGCGTCTAGCAATAAGTCCAAAAGTTTTCACAAGTATTAATTTAGTCTTTTGTTCTTATAATTCATAAGTTCATTTCATTGAACGTTTGGTTGTACAACATATTTATGAAAATGTTGTAACAATATTAATGAATTTATTAGAATGAAAACATTTAACTTGTGGTGCATTGCCAATTAATAAATTCTTTAGTAGCAATTAACATAGTCTTTAGTTTCTTCAAAATTGATCCTGGGCCATTTTTGGTTTGTAAGGCTCAAAACAATTTTGTAAGACATAATAAGACTCGTAATGTTCAATTAATTTCGAGGTGGACCTTGAGATTATTTGGGAAGTTGGTGTATGTTTAAGATTCCAAATTGTTGACTTAGACCTTATGGTTTACGTCATTGGAATGTTTCTGAGACTTGACTATCTTTTGGGCTATCTTAATGAGTGGGAGTGACAGACGTGTCAACTCCAAGCTCTTAGCCGTTAGAGGTAGTGTTTATGTTAACTTATAAACAAGTCATAGAATATAGTTAGCATTATGCTAACATTAAGAGATCTCTACTTAAGGCATGCTTCTAAGATTTTGGAGATCATACAGTGAATTTGGATGGTTTCTTCCTTCAGTTGTGCACATAATATATTTTGAGAAACATCCATTAAGGGACTAAGAATAAACGTAGGGTTTGTTCATAAAGAACCTAAGTTAGAGAATTTAAATGCATGTGATCATAGTAGATACTATTCACTTGATTAGTAGATGACGTATTACTATGGTTCTTGTATTTTGTTCTTTAATGAAGGTTGTGCCAGTACTTGCACCAAGTGGGAGAATGTAAGTATTTTCCCTAAATACAATATATTATAATATATTGTATTATTGGGTGGCTGTGGTGCAAGTAGGAGATTGAGTCAATTAGTGACTTAATCTGTTATGCAACTCAGGATATTCAGTTAAGCTTTAACTGAATATCTGCCTATGTTGATGGCATGTAGGCTTCTAAGCAAAATAGTCCTCCCACAGCTCCCATGTTCAGGACACGTACCATCACGTATTCGGGAGAGAAGTAGTAGACAAAACGACACTAACCTTTATTCTGCCGGTTTACCATCTCGTGGCAATACCAACGACTATGGCTGGGGATATCCGGGCGATCCTAAAGCTTCCGCTGTAACGAGGCAGGTTACTCGTTTACTATATTTCATGTTAGTCTAAATTTATATCTAACACCATCTTCACGCCGTCGGAGCTACACGTCGTCGGAAAAACAGAGCCGAGCTCTGCCACGGCCAAAACCGTGCTCAGCTCGCCGAATCTACTGCTTCGATGCCGCCGCCGTCAACCTACTACGTCGAGTGAGAGAGAGAGAGAGAGAGAGGTCCATGGTCGCTGACCTTGGAGGAAGCTTCTTCGGTTCCAGATGAAGAGGAGAGTTGGAGAGTGAAGGAGATGAGGGATGTTGGTGGCTCATGGTAGTGAGATGGTGTTGTGCTGCCATGTTAAGGGATAAATAGCGAGAGAGAGAGAGAGAGAGAAGGGAGGGTTTTGGGTGGCGTTTGGCAGAGAGAAAGAGTCAAGAAACAGATAGGGAATTATTTGGCTGCTGTGTGTGGTCTCTCTTATACGTACATATATTTATTTATGTATATTGTATATATATATATCAAGTAGATAGGGTCACTATATTTGGTTGGGCTGGACTAATTATAAGAGTTTGGGCTTGGGTAAAAGTGTTGGGCTAAACAATTAAGATCAATTGGGTTAGAAATACATTTGGACTAAGGACACAAAATCATTTATGCTAGGAAATCTGATATGAATGAATACGGGTTCGTCTCAGATAGACTTTTCAAAGTTTTAGAAAATAAATCATTGTGGGAATAAAATACTTTTATTTTGAAACATTATAAAATAAGAAATTGGGAAAAATATTTCATTAATGATGCTTAATATATTCTTTCCTTTCAAAAAAAAAAAAAAAGGAGTATTTTCAAATAAACACGTTATCCAAAGATGCATTTCATAACTATGACATACAATGAAAAAATGCTTCTAAAATTGTATACTCCGATCCGTATATATTATATACAAAATAATACATATATGTGTGTGTTATGGAGCTATAATGCATAAATAAATGATATATATATATATATATATATATATATATATATATATATATATATATATATATATACTAGTATTTTTTATGCGCGATGTGCAAAAAAATAAGTGCCCAATATTAATAAATTATATTAAAATTTTACATTTATTTAAATTTTAGATATTTAAATTATTCTAAATAATAATAATAATAATATGTAAGTCATTTTTATAAATTTGATATTTATATTTATGTAATAATTAACATATAACTCAAATATTTAATGTGTATATATTATTATTAATGAAGAAGATAAGAAAATATATGATGGATGTATGTGCATGGTAACAATAGTGGAAAAGATAACAGAAGTTATAATGGTAGGGGTATGTTTGTCTAAAATATTCTAATGTACAACCTTTATAGCATAATGTACAAAAAAATTTAACGAAAAAAACGGACATAAATCAGGGGTATAACTTTCATTCACACTTATATATATATATATATATATATATATATATATATATATATATATATATATATATATAGGCTCAGTTTATTTTTGCCTACGACTTTTTCAGGCGAAAATTTTTGTACTTTGTGCATTGATAGTTGTTCCTTGTCAAATTGTATGTCTATTTTGCCCTTGTCGATTGTCGCCGTTCAAATTCCGGCTATATAGAGGACAACACTCACACTATTTAGGTGGGCCAGGTTTGTATGGTGTCTTATTGTGTGCAGCACGTGCTGCACACTTTCCTTTGTACTTGTTTCAATTTTTTATCATTTCATGTCTATTCCTTCACAGGCTTTAGTGTTTATTTTATTTTATTTATTTGAGAAGTATGGATTTCATTCAACTAATTTAGTTCTTTATTATTTTTAGATGTCGTTTTTATCGAATTTGTTAAGTTTCCTCCATACTTCAATTGTCCTTTGGAAGACTTATTTTGCCTTCATTATTGGTCTCAGTTTTAAACATTTTAGGGGAGTGCTCCCACTTTTTCTTATATATATAGCAGACTATTGTACATAACTTACATTTCTGTCTCGTTTGTTTCGGTTTTCTCCCGGCGTAAGTTGCTACTATTTTCTGCATTCATTTCTATTTAATTGCTTTTGATTTTCTACTTACCTCAATATCTTTATAATGTTGCTCATTTCCTACTTTCATTTCTCTTTAATTGCTTTTGGTTTTGTACTTGCGTTCTCATTAACAATTTTTAAATACCATTATGATATTTAAAAAGACTTATGCAACCAACATGCAAACATACAAATAGCTTTTCCTTCCGACAATGTCCTTCCGATCAGTTTCTTCCAATTATATCCTTTAAAACATCGATATCTTCGCTCTGGAGCTGTTCATTCCAAAAATGCCTCCTTCCATAGTGTTTCCTTCTGCCACCTCCTGCCGACATCCACAAAAATTTCTTATTAGAAGGATTTCGTCGTCTTTGTATAAATTATTTTGGTCGATATATTAATTAAATATTTTTGTCTTTATTATGTTGCTCATTTCCTGCTGTCATTTATCTTGAATTGCTTTTGGGTTACTACTTGCCTTCTCATTGATGATTTTTGTTCCAATTTTTTTCGTCGTACTTGTATGAATTATTTTCATCGATACTTGAATTACAACATAGGTGTCTTTATTATGTTTACGTAAATCACGTACGTAATATTTCTATTTTTACAAATAGCTTAAATATAATATTTGTATATGTGATTTTGGTTTGCTGTTTTCATTTCTGGCAGAAGAAATGAAGGTTAGAGAAAGGAAAGGAGAGGACTCTCCCATATGGGAGGTCATGAGATTGAGGCTCAGTGGAGGCAGTGATGACTCTTTGTTCTTCAATAGGTTGAGAAAGTATAGATGAAAAAAAACTATTCCTTCCTTCCGATTGATTTCTTATTCCATAATCTCAAACATCTTTGTTCTGGAATAACAAGTGTAAATACTTCCATGACCAATTCTCATCGAATCAAATATCATCCAAGTCATAATAATACAAAAAACAATTCGACGAAGTCATCATAATACTACAACAAACAATTCCACGAAGTCTAAAAGATCACAACGTTCTAATGATCAAATCATACCTACTGTATATAACTTGATAAAATATCGGCCCATTCAGAACGCACCAGATCAATAACCGCTTTGTCATATTCAACTTGTTGGAACTACATGTAAAAAGTGAGTAAATATTAGTAATTGCAATGAAATTCGAAATAAGTTAGGAGTAATTTTCAAGAACCACTATACGGTAATAGAGTTTTAGCAGTTCTAAAGGCAAGAGCTTTTGTATTTTCTCTAATCTCTCCACTTTAAACTTTGTGAATAAAATGATCAAATTAAAAACTAAAAAGCATTCATTCAATAGACATCAACAATAAATGGAGTACTCAAAATTATACTGGCAACAAGAATCTCAAATGCATCATATTTCCACTTTGAAACATTGAAATCAAAATAATTTTAAACACGAATTAGAAATTGAATTATTACCAGTGCTTGAACAGAATCTTTATCATCAATGTCCGGCATGTTCTCAATTAAAGTCTTCAGGTAAGCCATGACATAGAAACCGCATTGGTTACTATCCGGCTGACGAGGAGCCTACAAATGTTAAATAAGATTTGCATGTGCATTACAATTTAACATATACAAACACTTATATCTAATTAGTTACAAATATTAAATTACCTTGACAATTTCCCAAGCAGTTTTACTTCGTCCTTTCTTTCCATTCCCAGAGGCCGCATGAACCATTTTAATAGCCCTTCAAATATATTGTTGATTATTCAGATTATGTAATAATCATACTGATATAAATCGAAAGAAATAACAAAAAAAAAAACTTACATTTCTACAACATGTTTCCAATCATCATCGCGAATGCGATGACTAAGAGGGTCCCACAAATAAACAATATCCTTACTAAGGTTGATAACTGTCAGAATCCAATGGAAACTATACAGAAACACAAAATTATATTACATCAATAGAAAATAATATGCAATGGAAAGTATAATTGTAATCATTCTTACCCTACATTACATGGCACCAAAAGTGATGCACTACTTGGATTGTCAATTAGTCTGTCTGCTAAAGCTCGTGCCCTACTTTCCAACTGTTTGTCTAGGAAATTTTTATCTGTTCTTGTCGTTGGCACATGACCTACATGACATGGCTGCATAAATCTGAATTTTTCAAGCTTGTTGTCTTCCATCATCTTTTTATACAAATACCTAAGATTGGAATGGAAACTGAATTAGAATAACAAAGCATATAAGTGATAAGTATATATAATTGACTCGAAATATATATTAAATCATACCATATGTACACAGCAATACATGTGTACGATATTGGCATCAATTGACAAAACGGAGTCACATCTTCGTCGTGCACATATAGAGTACATTCTTCCCCGAAGACATTTTCATCTAGCACGATTTTTAAACTCTCTCCATTCCCAAGTGCACGCTTGTAATAACAGTATAGTAGCCATAATGACTTAGGCATACTTGAGGAGTTCAACTCAAGCTTTTTGACTTCCTTGCTCGGTTTCTTCTTACATTGTTTCTAATTTGCAAAATATACATATATTAGGTAAATAAATAAATATACTAACAAAGACATGTGAATTATATACATGCACAAATTAACATCTCCTACAGTTTATATGAAAAATGCAAAACATTTGAAAATTGAGAGGATGAAGCAAATCTGCAAAACATTTGACAGAGGCACCAATACGTAGATAGTAATTTTTGCCTAATAAACTAAGTAAAATGTAAACTTCAGTAAAGAGGGAATATTTACCTCCAAGACATCTTCTTTGTCAATAAACTGCAGCTCATCATCATCATCTTCGAAATCCAATTTTTGTTTCATAAAACCAATTTCTTCTTCACTCAGCTTCATCGCACCCTTTGCATCCTTTGCAGTACAACTCCCTTTTTCTTCAATCGAAGATGATTTAAAAGCAACATTTTGAAGGACCAAATTTTCTAACTTTGCAACTCTGTCTTCTACTGTTGCTTGTCGTCTTAGAAGGACATTTTTCTCATGGTTAGGAAGCATCCCTTTACCCAATCTGAAATATGTTGAGGGATTGACATGTCCACCTATAGCCCTCACCCGACCTCCATGCTCCTTAGATTCAAGAGCCTGTGTCAGGATGTCCTCATTTGGTCCTTGAAGTTGCAACAAACCATCTTGCTTTTGCTGAATATATTCATCCTGTAATTCATGACAAATGACCATGATAACCACAATCTTTCGAAATACATAAAGAGGATAATACTAGTAAATTAAAGGTTTTGCTTACAATCTTTGTAAATTTTGTCTTCAAAACATCTCCTTCTATTTCTCCTTGCTTACTAGTTCTCCCTTTCTTCCAAAGTATAGCTCTATTCACTTCGTCATCATCACACAATTCTGTTGACTACAGCCAAGAAGATTTATCAATGTCAAACTAAGGGTGAAAATGAGTTTTAAGTTATTAGTGAAAGTGAATAGAGATAAATACTTACAATTTCACTAGCAAGACGCGCATATCCTTTACGAGCAAGCCTATGTGGATAAAGGTTTTGCTTTCTTTGTACCTTTTGCTGCTCGCTTAGTTTCTAAGACAAACATGATCAAAACTTGACATTATATTTCTAAGACAAAGATGATGCTTCATGCTTGAAAAGTGAAAACAGACATGATAAAAACAGAAATGAGGAAAAGGCGGAACACTTCATCTTTTTTGATTTCTTAACTGAACTCATTAATTGGTAATATTACAATAAATCTTAATTGTTATACGGTTTGGAACAACCTGAATACTTAAATGCTAAACTAATATATATATATATATATATATATATATATATATATATATATATATATATATATATATTCTAATTGAATATGCCTCATAGGTGGGGGATTTAATTTTTTAGTTATTTTCCAGAGGACAAATGGCCAAAACATAATCTTAATGACTAAGCATCAGACCAAGAAACACATATACAACAAATCATATTACTGCAATTACACAGGACAGTCAGAAATCATGTGGCATCAAACATGGGTGCGGTTTCTGCAAGTTTATGTACTGTATAGAGCTAAATTGTTCAATGGGATAAGTTGCTATTTTTGTTAAACACACTTTGCAAGATGAATACCTGTGCAAAAGCTTGTGGTGGGCATTTGAACTTTTTAAATTAAATTGATATATACACATATAGATAGACTTCTAGTTTTGAGGTTACCTTGAAGTCTTCGGACATGCGGCTAATCACAAATTGACTCCATTCATCTCCCATAATACCATATCCTGGGGGTGGTTTGTGCAAGTTTTCTTCATCATTCAGTCTCTTCCAAATAAAGTTATTTGTGAGTTGTGTTTTATATTGCCGCCATTTGTCATTTGCTGAACTCAAGCAAGGTTTCTTGAATATTGCCGGAACTCTGAAGCTCAACTACATAGATAAAATTTTGTGAGAATTAAACGACTAATGTGTTAAATATCACAAATAATAAGTAAACGAATGAGATTTTCCTTACATTAACAGCGTCCCATATCTTGTCTTTAATATCCTGTGGCACATGTTTCCATGTCTTAAAATTCAACTTCACCTTTTCTCTTGCAAGGACACCAATGTAACTTTGTAGTTCTGCAGCACTATCTCCAATTGGTTGTCCTAGTTCATTGAATTGTACGTCTTTCTTCAGTCCTTGTGCCCTTTGCATAGCAAGCTTATGCATTTGGGTACGACCTCGTGTGCTCCTCGTTGACTGGGTTTCTTGAGAACCCGACATGTTTTCTTCCTCATCTACCTGAACCTCTTTTCCATTATGTTCTTCGTCACTATGTACTTCTTGTCCCTTTTGTTCCTGTTGTACAATTTTTTTCTTTCTTCGACCAGCCATAGACCCCGCAAACCTAATAAGCACAAAAACATAAAAACAAAATTATTAGAAATGTTCGAATTCATTTTCAGAAGTTGGGAGCCAAAAAAATTAAGGAATTAAACATAAGAAACATGTAAGAGCACATACAAAGTCATATTTAAAATATGAGGTTTGAAAAGTAATTATACACTAGAAACTTGCTACGAGTTCCTATTCTCAACCCATGTCCCATCACAATCTTCTCGAATGCATGGTGGTTCACTCTCATCTTTAACGTCAACATCTGGCATCCCTTTCGTAAAGCATTGATGATGGATTATTGGTTCATCCATTTCATTCCCATCTTGATATTCAAAGTAATCCCGACTAGGAGTTGCGAGCACGACAGACCATATAGGATCTTGAGGGTCTTGAATATAAAATACTTGCTTGGCTTGACTCCCTAAGATAAAAGAATCAGATTTGAATCCAATCCTATCGAGGTTTACTAATTTGAAACCAAGATCATCTACTTTAATACCATTGTTATTCTCAACCCAATTGCATTTGAACACAGGAACTCGAAAGGTATGGTAATCAAGCTCCCATATTTCATCAATAACTCCATAAAATACCATATCTGACTCAATGGGGTTCTTATCCTTTGCACTAGAAACTTGCATTATATTTGCAACTAAGCTTACGCCTGAGTTCTGGACAGCTCGCAAATTATCACGATCTTTGGTATGAAAAGTAACTCCTTCAATTAAATAACCAGAGTACTTTAACACTTGGTTCCGAGGACCATGTGCCAACCATTTTAGTCTTTCTGATATTTCATGGGTGGAATCATTTATTGCTCTTCCAACCTTAAAAATGAAAGCACTTTAAAATTAGTATATGATAATAAAACCAGTGACTTTTATTTTTTGTACTAGTCATAGTTATACAACTTACACGATCACGTAACCAATTAATAAATGTGCGGTTATGCTCATCAAGTAGCCCCTTCTCTGTCCTAACTTTACCGCGCAATGAAGCCTTCAAATGTGCCTTGTGTTCCCTAACAAACGGTATTTGACCAAAGTCAATTAACCACTACAATATAAACAATATATTGGAAGTTTTATAACACTTGGAAAAATTACTTGGCATATTGGTCTATTTCTACATCATTTGCCAAAATATAACGATGTGATTGCTCCCACTCCTCTTGGCTAATGGATTGCACTTGAGCACCTGATAAAGGCCGAGTTCGCACCACTTCTTGAAATGTTGATGGGATCCCAACTGTTTGTACATTAGTCAAATACTCTGAGCAAAATTCTATAGCTTCTTCAGAAATATAACACTCGGCTATACAACCTTCTGGTCGATTGCGATTTCGCACATAACCTTTCAAGATTTTCATATATCTTTCAAATGGGTACATCCATCTATACCACACTGGTCCACACAATTTGACCTCTCTCACAAGATGAACAGTTAAGTGAACCATTATATCAAAAAATGAAGGAGGAAAGTACTTTTCAAGCAAACACAGCGTTGTCACAATCTCATCTTGTAGCGCATCTAACTTTGAGGAATCTATCACTTTGCTACATATGACATTAAAGAAGAAGCACAACCGAGTGATAGCATACCTTACATGTTTGGGTAACACACCTCGAATAGCAACTGGAAGCAACTGTTGCATGAAAGTGTGACAATCGTGAGATTTAAGACCAACAAGTTTCAACTCCTTCACATTGACAAGGTTTCTCACATTAGATGAATAGCCTGATGGGACTTTCATATGTAACAAAGAGTTACAAACTTTCTTTTTCTCATCTTTGCTTAGGGTATAGCAAGCAGGTGGCAAAAACGTTCTCTTCTCCCCTTGTTTTGGTGCCAACTCCATTCTCACATTCATTTCCACAAGGTCTAGTCGAGCAGCTACCCCATCTTTGGTTTTTCCTGGGATGTCAAGTAATGTGCCAATAATACTTTCACACACATTTTTCTCAATGTGCATGACATCAAGAACATGCCGAACATGCAAATGCTTCCAATACTCAAGCTCAAAGAAAATTGATTTCTTTTTCCAACATGATTCACTAATTTTTCTTTTAGCATTTAGCTTGCCACTGTTTTTTCCCCAACTACAATTGATCCCCTCAACTGTTTTCAGAACATCATGGCCACTCAATGGTTTGGGTGCTAAGTCGAATTCTTGCTTACCATCAAATGCCTTATTTTGCCTTCGATAAGGATGAGTTTTACATAAAAATCTTCTATGTCCTGTGAATGCCATTTTCTTACTATGCTTCAACCTCTTGGCATATGTATTCTCACCACAGATAGGACATGCATGATATCCTTTGACAGTGCAACCTGATAAGTTCCCATATGCTGGGAAATCATTAATCGTCCATAGTAAAACAGCTTTAAGGACGAATTTTTCTTGTCGGTATGCATCATATGCTTCTATACCTTCTTCCCACAACACTTTTAAATCGTCAATCAAAGGTGCCAAATAAACATCAATGTCATTCCCGGGTTGTTTAGGACCAGAAATCAACAAACTGAGCATCATGAATTTTCGCTTCATGCACATCCAAGGAGGAAGATTGTATGTAATCATGATGACTGGCCAACAACTATATGTAGAACTCATTACACTATGGGGATTTATCCCGTCTGCAGATAAAGCCAATCTAAGATTTCTTGGCTCATTAGCAAAATCTGGCCACATTTCATCTACTGTTCTCCAACAAGGTGCATCAGCTGGATGACGCAAGTAACCATCACAAACTTTATTATCACTATGCCAAGTTAACTCCTTAGATATATCCTTGCTCCTAAACATTCTTTGAAATCTTGGTATCGGTGGAAAGTACCATAACACCTTTGCAGGAACTCCTATGGATATCTTAGAATTCTTGCCTATCTTCCACCTTGAAGTTCCACAAGTAGGGCAATTAGTACAATTTGCATTCTCCTTCCGATATAAGATGCAGTCATTGGGACACGCGTGTATTTTCTCGTAGTCCATTCCCAATGCAACCAAGCTTCTCTTTGCCTCATATAAAGAAGAAGGCAGTACGTTGTCAGTTGGAAGCATTTTTGCAAACAAATCCAGAAGGTCCGTAAAACTTGCATCGCTCCAACTATATTTTGCCTTCAAGTTATATAACTTCACTACCGCTGATAGTTTTGTAAACGTAGTACATCCAACGTATAGCGGTTTCTCTGCATCTTCTAGTAATTTACTAAATTTGTTGGGATCCTCAACGTATTCGTCATAAGCAGCATTTACCATATCTATAGGATTTTCATCAACACGATTATGCTCTTCTCCCCTAATTAGACCGCCATCATCTATTGAGTTGTTTAACGTAGCCTTCTCCCCGTGCCATATCCATGACACATACGTTCCATCCATTCCATTACGGTACAAGTGTGCCCTTATAGTATCAAGAGGTTGCTTCCTTAGGTTGCCACATATTGCACATGGGCATGATATTGAATTAGGATCAACGGCATTTTTTTTAGCAAATTGTAAAAAAGATTCTACTCCAACCTCATATTCATAACATAATCTATCTTTTGACATCCATTCTTTGTCCATTGTTTATTTATACACCAATGCTACAAAACAGTCAAGTGACAAGAAAAATAAATTCATATCGCTTAAAAATTATACAATTAGTAGTAACTACCAAAACAAAAACCACATACTTATTTGGTACCTGCTGCATGCATCGGTCATATATTGCCAAAACAAAAACTTATTAAATGAATATAATTATACAATTAGTAGTAACTAGCAAAACAAAAACCACATACTTAAAATACTAACTAACTAACTATATATATATATATATATATATATATATATATATATATATATATATATATATATGTACACACACACTAACCGTATACTATATATATGTGTGATGAAATATATATATGTTTTATAATTAATGTTGACACGGAATATATATTCTATACTAACAGTATAAAATATATATACTAATTAGTGTTGTTCGAGTATATATATATACTATACTGTTAGTGTATTTTTTTTTGGTGAGGATACTGTTAGTGTGTGTGTGTGTGTGTGTGTGTATATATATATATATATATATATATATATATATATATATATATATATATATATATATATATATATATATATATATATATTATTCGGGGACGGGGCGGGGCATGGAGGGGTATCCCCGTCCCTGTCCCTGTCCCCGTCTAGATGGTCATCTATGAGAGAATTCCACAATATTGCACTGAGTGTTTTAAGCAAGGACAGTCTATTGATGTTTCTAGGTTAGCTAAGGCTGTTGCAGGTTCTAGAACAAATAGGGCTGCTAGAAAAAGTAACGAGAATGGAAGTGATAGGAAGAATCTGAGGGGAGGTATAAATGGAGCAAGGAGTAGTAAGGTTTGAGAGAGGTCTGACATGGTGGAATGGCAAAAGAGAGAGATATAAATACCACCATACATATTACAGACTTAAGAATACAATAACTTCATTAATACCTTGAAGTAAATCTGCATAAGTATACTCTATTTCATTCAACTGCAATGTGTAGTCAAAGGCTCAAGTACTCATATAACTACAAATTTACTTTTAACCACATGTGAATCCTTTCACAACAGATTAGGCAGAATAAATGATAACACTTGAATTTATTAAAAAGTATCAATCATAACCTTAATGTGGCAGTTACCTCAGAACAAATTAAGCAATATAATTCTGCAAAAAACTAAGATTTCCTAGTGCCAATATCACATAGAATAGTTTGATTACCTCAACCTCAATAATAAACATGCCATGACAAACTCTAACCATTAAAAAAGATAACTGACCTATTGGAGCACTGGGTAACTGTCCGTCCTTCAATGGAAGCAGCAACAACCTGCCAATTACTCTCACCAAAAGCTTCCACAGCAGCTCTCAGTGTATTATCCTCCTCCTCAGTCTTCCCAGTTCAACCATCTGCAGAATGTTACAAACTAATTACATCAATTTCTATTACTCAAACAGTCAATAGAAGGATCAAATACTACAAGCTTCCTCAATTATGTACAAGGATGAGTGTTGAAGTTGACAAGGCCTGGCAAGAAAATCTACCATATCCAATGACTACCATGAAGCAAAAAATTAAAAACAAATAAAAATTAATTACATGAGAAGGAAGAGGTGCTCTGCAGATAAGGACTTTGTTCTGCACTCCCACTGCTTTTATGTGGCTATATCTCAACAGATTTAAGGTTGTGATCAAAAGATTTAAGGTTTGCTTTCTCAAACTGCAACTTGTTTTCCTCCTACTCTATTCCCATCTTTTATATCAATCATGTCCAATCCAATCAATGAACTAACAGATACTACATGTCTATGAAGAGTGTACCAGTAACAAAGGGCCGGCCTGAAACATCAGGTCAAATATTCAGATTCAGGCAAGTAATACTGGATTTCATATTGCAAGTTTTGAGTAAAACAATTGTCCAGATCGGGATATCTCAGAATCTGAACAAGAACCTGACTTGCTTACAAAAACATGAAAAACAACATGGTTTCTATCAAAGTTTGAACACAGAGCATAGGACCAAGAGTGGAATTGGATCACGTTTTTGGGCTGAAAGAATATACCATCTAGTGTTCTAGGAAGGCAAAGTAAGGTCCAAATGGCATTCCAAAATTTTGCACAACAAAACAAATACTGTAAACATTTTGCACAACAAAACAAATACCATCCAGTGTTCTAGAAAAACTAACCTTAAAACTAAACCTCTTAGTTATTTCGTCTTACTCATTGTATTTAAGCGCGGGACATTTTAGTTTACCTCTGCTGGAAAGCCTGGATTGTTTGTATTCTCTCGGATTTCAGCAGATAAAATACAGTTCGGATTTAATGAGAAGAAATCAAAGAACCGTCCAGAGGGAAATTTATCAGCAACCACGTTATCCCAGAGGAGCTTGTAGCACATTAATTGAAGCCTGCCATGCGAAGAAGGTTCATTAATTGTTATATAAGATCATACTAGCTTACAACATATTCTAATATATAGAGGAAGCTTTAACATCTTCCCCTAACAACTCTTAGTTGAAAGGAAAATCATATACAACTAAAGCCATATAAGCTTATACCTTCCATTCATGCGCTGTGGTTCAGAAGGAAGAGTAGCTCGCACACGTGTTTTCTCCTGTAGGCATTCGTATTTCATCTATCACTCCAACCACCCATACTCCTTCAGCGGCAGCAGCTGGACCGACGGCGACACAGGATGGCGGCGGCGATGGCGGAAGAGCTTGGGCTTTGGCGACGGCGTCGAAGCTTGGACGGTCGGCGGTCGGCGAGGGCGGTACGCGGTCGGCGGTCGGCAAGGGCGGTACGCGGTCGGCGGTCGGCGAGGGCGGTACGCGGTCGGCGGAGTGCACACGAGGAGGTTACCGGAGACTGGCGTGGCGGAGAGGGAAGACAATTTTGGACTAACCCTAATTTTGCGCTCTTTTGTCTGGGAGGGAAGACAAAAATTTCCCAAGTTTGTCTTAGAGGGAAATTTTAATTTGTCTTAGCTTAGAGGGAAATTTCATAACAAAATATTAATTTAATTACTCGAGTCGCTACATCCGGTCAATTAAAATAGAATCGGGTATATAGGTACAGAACACGAGATTCATAGATTTCTATAATGTAGATTCATAATTTCTAATTTAAATACAGTTGTATAGATTAATAATTTATATATAGTAAATTCATAATTTCTATACTGCAGATTCATAATTTCTGTATTGTTGATTCACAATTTCTAAAATGTATAGTTATAAACACTTGGGAATATGAACATCGCAAATTATAAACACAACGTTTTGTAATTGTATGTGAATATAGATCAGAGTTATTCAATCATTATGAATATGCATTTCAATTCAAAAATTATGAATATATAGTTTGGTAATTATGACATAGAGCTAATTAAGATCGCGGCGGCAAAAGAAATGGGATATAGAAAATTGTACGGCATCGATCAACTACTCTTTCATATCCATTCTCAAAGTCTTAAAAGTTAAAAGACTGCACTTTAACAGTTTAATGTTCAACTTTCAATTTATTACCCTAGCCCAAAATAAAAATTCGAAATAAAAATTATAAAAATTAACAAATATAACATTTATTAAAATCATAATTATAAAAAATAATTTTAACAACAAAAAAAATACCTGCACGGCTTTAGTTTGGCGGATCGGAGCAGCTGGCGGCGGTGGAAGTCGCAGAACGGTGGAAGTCGCAGTTCGGAGCCGCTGAGAACGGTGGAACTCGCGGCGGCGGTGGCTGAGGAGAACTGTGGCGATGGAGACGGCGGATGAGGGAGTCCATAGCTTGGTGTTGGCGACGTCGTGGGAGGATGAGGGAGGCTGTGTTGACGGCGGAGATGAGGGCGACGACGGAGGGCGTTGTGGTGAGGTGTAGCAGAGGTGTGGTGTAGCGACGACCAATGAAGATAATTTTGCGCGTAGCAGAACTATGAAGCGGGAAAATTTTGCTAAGTATTTGGTGGGAATTAGGTTTTGATGAAATAATTTTCACACATCAATAGTGAGAGTAACACATCTTTTGTACTAATAATGAGAGTATATTTTTAATATAAATATAAAATTAAAATTTCGTCACTAAATCATAAACTTTTAACTAGAGTAATTTTTAACCGTCACAAAAATTATGCAAACAATACATTTAATGAGGAATTTTTTTACCCGTCACTAAATTTTTGTCACTAAAAGCTGTTTTTCTTGTAGTTTACATAAGTGTTGTTGTGGCTTGATGGGTTTAACTTAGTTTATTATGTTAGTGGTCCTAGGTTCTATTCTTCTTGGGGGGAATTCTTTAACTATTTTCTAAAATTGTTGTCTTGGTTTTCACAAACAACACAGAAGCAACCCAGTTATATACCAGATGTTGCACTTTTAAACATAAGAGGTTGTGTTGTGTAGTTGGTAAAAGTGTGTACTTGTTAAGCATGAGGTCATAGGTTCGACTCTTCTAGTTAACATCTTCGTTTTTATTTTATATACCTGTTAAATAATGATGCGCAATGACAACGGTTGTTTAAAACCGTTGTCTTTATAGTGTTGTGTATTCAAATACACTTAAAGAGAACATACCAAAGACAACGGTTAAATAAAACCGTTGTCTTAAACAAATAACGAACGTGCAAAGACAACGGTTTTATAAAACCGTTGTCGTTTTAGTGTTGTGTATTCGATTGTGTTTAACGACAACACACCAACGACAACGGTTAAATAAAACCGTTGTCTTTTTTAAAAAAAAGAGCGCACAAAGACAACGGTTTTAAACAACCGTTGTCTTTCTAGTGTTGTGTATTCCAGTGCGCTTAAAGACAACACACCAACGACAACAGTTAAAAAAACCGTTGTCTTATTTAAAAAAAAAACGCACATAGACAACGGTTTTTAAAAACCGTTGTCGTTGTGGTGTTGTCTTTTCACAAAATGCACAAAGACAACACACTTATAACAACGGTTAAGTAAAAACCGTTGTCTTTGACAAAAGTGTTGCATCAAAGACAACGGTTTTGGACCAAACTGTTGTCTTTTATACAAAAGACAACACTTTTCTTAAAAACTGTTGTCTTTCTAGTGTTGTCTATGTGCATTTTTCTTGTAGTGTTATTATTATTATTTTTCTTTTTCATTATGGACAGGCTTCTTTCAAACTGCTCCCACCCTCTTCTTCTACAAAAACTAATCATCGAGGGCTTTTTCCGGGCTATAAGAAGGTTGTTGCGTTCTTCCCGATCTACGTCTAATTGTAAAAAAAAAAAAAAAAAAAAAAAAAAAAAAAAAAAAAAAAAAAAAAAAAACCTTACCCAATTTTTTAGTTGACCTTCTTCTAGATTAGAAGAAGCCATTGACGGCCTTCTTCTGATCTGGAAGAACTGCCTTCCACCTTAGAAGAAGCCAGTCTGCCTTCTTCAAGTTCGGAAGAAGGCAGTAGCTACCTTCTTCCTGTCTGGAAGAAGCAAGCGCTGACTTCTTCCAGTCTTGAAGAAGGTCGACTACAAAACTGATTTTTTTTTTATTCTTTTACAATTAGAGGTAGAGTTTTTTTTTTTTTTTTTTTTTTTTTTTTTTTGCAATATTTTTCTCTCTATAAGATGAATATTTTGAGAAGAACAAAAAAACAATAGTGTGTAGTAACTTGACTTTGCTTAGCCGGTGCGTTTTGCTTCGACGGCCAACTCAAAAATGTTTTATATTTATGTTGTTGCACGAAATTGTTGGTTTATGCAAATCAATTGTTTTTAATTTTATTTATATTTTCCCATTTTTATTTAATTTTGATATTTAATATTCTAAATGTTATGTAATGTACTTTTTTATGTAATATATAATTTTAATAACATATTATAATAATTAAAATTTTGTAATTATCAATTAATTTAAATCTTGACATGTTTAATTTAAACTCGCACTACTACAAAATTGAGAATAAAGGTCTCGGGGAAACAAAATGGTAAAACTTTTTGCGTCACCAACCGGATAAAGGTGCCTCGGAAATTATATTATTAAAATAATAATAGAGGAATCCACGACACCAACTGAAAATGGGTGCCATAGTATATTAATAAAATAATAATAAGGGTATCCGCGGCACCCGCTATAGATGGTGCCGCGGATATTTTATTATTAAAATAATAATAATGGCCCGCGGCACCCTTTAACAAGTTGTCATAGCCCATGCATTATACACATATATAAAAAAAAATACACATACACACAGAAACATGTAGGGGAACAAACTGCCACTGCCAAATATCAACAGGCGCTTGCAAGATCAAGAGTTCATAGTACAACTAAGATCCAGTCATATACACAATAAGAAAAATTTACAGCTTCCTACACCAAAATCTCATTGCATGACGTTGTCATCTATGCTACCA